GCTATAATATCAGATCGCCTTGACAACCAAAAGACACCATTATCATATCTGTTTCTGTTATCATGTGCGTATGTTTTTGACAGACACTTTTTACCTTGTCCAAGGATGCCTTTCAGGAGACAGAATTGATGGGAATCCAGGCACTTTTCCAAATGACTCAGATGTACACCTTGACCGTAGTAGTATTTATACTTGGGAGGGACATTAAAGAATATTTCACTCTCTGAAATAGTTAGAAAGCTGTATTTTAGAAAGAAACATTTTCAATCCCACTTTGCATGATCTATCGAAAACCTCTCACTGACCTCTGTAAAAATCATAAGAGCTTTGAATTATGTACACTTCATGAGAAATCAGACATAACCTTGAAAATAAATTTAGTAAAGTTAATTTGAGAGATTACAACTTTGAAACTTATTGTGGAATACTTTATTTTCGCTCGGAATTTATTTTCGCTATTTTCGCTGAAGGGATGATTCCCTGAAAATAAAATCCATCGAATATACTTTTTTCCTATATTTCACATTAAACTTAATTCCAGCAAAAAGAAAGTATTCCACAGCATGTTAAATTTGGTGATCAGACACCACAAACTTCAATGCAAGATAGCTTCAGAGCTACAATATTTCATGATTTGTTACCATGGCAACTGTTTTTATCATTTCTCATGATGATTACAATAATCAGTGTAAGGCGTTATGCATATACATGTAATACAAAGCGCTGTACATGTCCTAAAGAGGGGCAGAGACAATTAAAATAAAGGAGGGGCAAGGTTAGGATTAATGTTACAGATGAGGGGGCCATGAGGAAGTCTTATAATTACTGTCTTAATTGGGGACTAGTTGTCGAAAATAACATTTTTTACCAAAAATGACAAAAACATTCACTTAAAATCCAAATTTGCATATTTTGACGACGAATTTAACAAATCTGACAGAGGACCACCCCATGTATCCTTGCTGCAAATATGAAAGCAATTGGACTCACGGTTTAGGACTAGTTGTCGAAAATAACATTTTTTACCAAAAATGACAAAAATATTCACTTAAAATTCAAATTTGCATATTTTGACACAACTTTAACAAATCTAACAGAGGACCACCCCAAGTACCTTTGGTACAAATGTGAATGTAATTGGTCAAGTACTTTTGAAGAAGAAGTCGTTTAAAGGAAAACTTCATGCAGGACGCAAGACAGACGACGCTGGAGAGATCCCCATATTAACAGCCCCGCTGGGTCATCTGCGATGACAGCAGAGCTAATAAATCATGTTATTAAACGTAAACCTTGAAAAAAAAACACATTTTGTGACTATATTGTTTTGCTGTGAATTTGGAGAAGATTACACTTTTGTCTAGTGACAACTCACTGTGAGCAAATGATTTCAAACAACCAATGAGCAACTACTACAAAATATTTGTGAGAAATTTGAGTTCTATTCACTTTTGACGGCATTTCATTGTATACCTGTAGGTTTAATGTCAATGCCAACAGCTATCGTTTGAAGTTATAAGACATTAGTTGCTTTACAATTCCTCTATCACCAGTCTTGAAACGTGTACTGTTTGAGGTGGGAATTATATTCATCTTGTAAGTAGCACACAATAAGGTTGAGTAAAATGCATATAAATTGCTATAGATAGCCAAAACAATTTGGGTATTTCAAGGGTGTTTCAAACCTTATGAATATTAATTAGCTTATGAATATTAATGAGCAACCAGCACTCCCAAAGAGCTGAGTAGATCCCTGATATGCACAGCAGACAAAAAAAAATATTTGCTTCTATATCACTTTTTGCTCAGAGAAATCATTCATAATAATATTTTCCTAGATTGCCTCATCCTTCCTTCACCCCATCTCTATAGCTTACCTTTACTGTTGCTATGGGGACAAGTCTGAGATGATGGTGATTGTAGAAAATAATCACCAGCACTGAATAGCTTTAGAAGGATAACAATTGTGCTAAGAATGAGACATAATGTCGGCCAATTCTCCTTACTCTGCCACACTCTTCGAACTTTACCAATAGAAGCTATGAATGGAAAAAAAAGAGCATTTTTATTTATAATGTAAAAAAAAAAGTATACTCTCAAGATCCAATTTGGTTAAAAACTGTAATATACTTTAGTATAAATCACGCCCTCTGAGACGAAGCACTTCTATGATGTAAGATGACACAATGGCCATTAAAAACGTCAATATCAATTTGATCGAATGTTGCTCATCAATTAACAAAATGTTTTTGAGATATTTTACTATTATTCTAGATGACAAACAACATTTTGGCGTCACATAAGAACTTATCACCAGGGGACACAATAGAAATGGTGCACTGGATGTTGTAGAAATATGCATCAAACCTACATGATTTACATTGTACCATGGAACTACAAATAACAGGAAGAACAGCACTATTAAGAATATTAAGTCAGATTAATTTGTTTGCTTGCTTTCTCTACTACCGTAATCCGAGTCATATTTAGTGAGTATGTTTAACATGTGGCTGTCAGTGGTTTGATGTTTTTATAGATTTTTAACTAGAACATTTATTTAATTTTCATTAAATAATAATAAATCTACATTCTAATTATTTTTTAATCGTATTTTAAGCAATGATGGGTAATTCACTAAAGTAAAATTGTAGCTGGTGTGTGAAATTAGACAGGTCATTATTTTTCACTTTTCACTAGATTTCCATTCAGGTCATCATCATAGGGATAAAATGTAATTTCCATTCAATTTCAACAATGTTAGTGAGATTCACATCTTCGCTTTATCAGTCGGTATTGTATCGGCAGTTTTAACAGTGCCCACTTCATTTTACAACCAATATTAATGTGACAAAGGTCAAAGATAACATAAACTTGCATTAATTACCTTATTTTCAATACGAATATATAAACAGTCAAAATAAACATATACCGGTAGTTTAAAGGAACGAAGTTGTTCTTTCGACGGTTTGTTGTACCACGATTTACCACTGACTGAATTGTCTGGCGTATATATAGCTCTCTTTATTGAATCAAAGTTTCATATAATTTGCTTTATTAATAGAATGGAGCTTGATTTAATGATATGTGTATGCCCTCTATGACAGACAGACGGTTAAATAAGTCGCATTTTAATGATCTAGCATGCAATGAATGCAAGTTGTTTTGCTTATGTGTACTTATATTCGAGAAGCGCACCCCACTAATAGAGCAAATACGGTACATGAATGTTTCCTTTCTGTGAATTGTTGTTACGAAATGGAAAGAATACCGTTCCTATTACTTTACCTGATTCCGTCTTTTTTAACCACTGACATCGTTGTAATTTCGCAGCGAGTGGTTCTCTATTGATACCACGTAACAGTTCGACTAGATACGCCACGTTATGACAAGAGATTATACCCCGGTGTTCGAGTTCGTTGATAACATCTTGGAAAGTCTGCAATTCTTCTTTAATCCGATCACCTATAATATTGGGAGTGACTAAAAACTTTACATCATCCAGCAAAGTTACACAGTTGTCGCATTTTAGCGCTTCGATTATTTCTGTCAATTCTCGGTGAAACGCGACGGTTTTGAAATCTTCACTCGTCCGTAGCGATGTGGATTTCCGGGAAAGAAGTGTCCCCATTTTCGTCACACAGTGGCGATTTTCGTTTACGCCTGCTCTAAACTAAATTGAGTAAAGTTCCAACCTACATAACGTGGTTACTATAACAGTGCATAACAGGACATATGTGGTATCGAGTGTACACGCACAACGCTGGGTTTTAGCCGAGATTAGGATAAAGACTGTTTTCGTTGTTGGGCTTCGTCGTCCATTTTCACAACTTTATTCTCAGGTCAGGTCAAAGGTCGACTATCTCATTCGATGTCAATTGCGTTCGGGAGAGATAAATGTAGATATAGATGAAAGTAGACATAAAATGTACAATTTGGACGGCAATTTACGAGTAACGAATCTAGTTAAAAATATTATCTATAATAATTGAATATATCTGTTCCAGTTTATCGTCAACGAAAGCAATTTAATACATCCTACTACCCTATGTTATAATTGACTCGTCCTCAAACTTATGCAAAGAGCAGGGAGTTTCACCTTCGGGTTTGCGCAATATTGGCGATGTGAGATTAGCGACAACTTGAATGAGCGCGCGTGTTGTTGTTTTTTGTGTGTGGGAGGGTAGACCAATATTAATGAAAACATTCTGTTTATCCAAAAATAAAAAAATAAAAAACACATTATATTTCTCTCCTTCGGATGATTACCCGTTTCTATTTAGTTTGTGTTCAAGTTGGTATTCTCGCACATTTCGGAGTTCACATTTGAGCAAGAAATATTCTCCGTCCTTTTCCGTTTTTTTTTCTCCATAGTTTCTTTTTTTTCTTTACCACAGACTAAGCATTTGTTGTTACTCACCTATGTATCTGTCCCCGGATCTGTTCATTTTCATCTACAAATCACGTATACTCAAATTTTCTTTGGGCATTAAAATGGTTACATTTGTTTTCCGGCTTTTTCATATAATTTTACTTCTGCCTACCCAGCATTTTTAAAATTCCAAGGTTGTGTTTTGCTGTCTATGTCTAAGGTTATTTATCATAATTATGTGAATCGGGTTTTTATTTCAAATTTTCCTATTAGTTTTTTTCCTTCTGTCGTTTTTTGTTAACATTGACAAACAGGGACAACCGGGATTAAAAATCGAGCAGTCATTCTGAATGTTGATATAGGTTGGAACAATTGGTTGTCTTTCCTCTCATCTACAAAATCCTAATAGGGAAACGAACGCAATAAAGATAATTATATCTATTATTACTACAATATAACAAAAGAACATGGTACAAATAAAACAAAAATTTAAAATCAAACAAATATACAAACAATACACGCCGTACATTATGTCAGATTTTAATTGCTGGATTCCATGCGCCAATCAAACGTCGGCGAATTTAACAGGATACGGATCCGGCGCCAACTTCATGTTCGTTTCAAAAAGAATCATGGGAAGAGTTCAACAGGCTGACCTCTGTGCACATGTGAGCTTTGCATCATATTTTTTTCAGGCGTGTTTAAGTGTTCGGAATCGGTGCTGGATTTTCAATATTCCGACATAAATAGGTAAAGCAAGACATTTTACGAATACAACAATTATTGTCTGTGTAACATTGTTCGATGCAAAGTGACCCGAGCGGGGCCCGAGGCCACGTGTGTTGGTGTCGTGCCGTGTCGGATACTACGAGTATGTATTTCTAACTCTCCAGTCTGGCCAAATTATACGAGTGTCGATTATCCAATCTCTTGATTATCAAGAATATTATATTAGAATATTTTTATATTATTGAAATGTAATTTTCAGCTATTTTTAGCTTAACAACATATAATTGACCCAGAAGAAATCTTTAATGTGACCCCTGACCTTGGGCTTGTGGGAGAGTGTGGGTCTGAACACTGACTTATACAATTGTGATATCTAAAACCATAAGTCCTCGCACCATCATGACATGATGCACTCTCTACACAGTTTGCGATCACATTATGGCTGTCATTTTTTTTTAATTTTGGCTGAATGATATAGGTAGCAGCAGGGAGAAAATGATTGAATTAAAAATTTATCGATAAGAGTTCATTAAGGCCCGTTTACCCATAATTCTAATCCTAAACCTGCCTCTCCAGTGCCCCCCATTTCAATTGCATATACCCCTCTTCTTGTCATAGTTATTTGGAGAGGCACATTGAACTAACTACCTTTGGGGGGCTGTAGTGTTAGAGTTAGGGTTCAAGTTAAGAGAGGACTCTGGTTTTCCATAAAGCCACAAGGTTGCATCCCCTGTTTGAATTTATAGAATGACTATTTTACTTATAGTCTGCACCCAAGCACCATCCCTCGGACGGTGACCTAAGCCAACATTTATGCATACATACCCAATACAAAGCAATGTATAACAAAATTTATTGTAGTGAAGACATTATATATCTTGGTGGATAACCAGCACATAACACCAGCTTTCGATCAGTATAATTCAAAAATGTTGTAACTTCTAGATTTGATTTTAGCCTAAGATCCTCAAAATTAAAAAGACATTCAATTCAACTAATTACAACGTTAACTGCTACATTTGTACATATATATACATGTGAGAGTGTAGCTTGTACATGTACAAGATAAAGTCGCAAGTTCATTTGGCCAGTTTTGTGTTCATTCTCCATTTACCAGTAGTAACTTGTAGTAACTACTGGACACTGGACAAAAGCAATCATGTCATCAACAAAAATGTCAAGTTTTCTAATGTCAATTAAGAAATGCTACTGTATTTGGTCTATTAGAACCTGTTCTCCAATAGAAGTGCATATAAACCCAAAGTCACATTTGTTATTCATTATTCATTGAATCTTTTAAATATTACTTATTTTGACCTTAGAAATACCTCTCTAATTAGCATAAGAATGCTTTTTGACCTTAGAAACACCTCTCTAATTTACATAAGATTGCTACCAATAGAATAAATACGGTATATATCATTTCATGGCAAGACAATACTTGTATTGTCACAGTTTAATATTGAATGTTTTTGTAAATTGTATTGAAGGACACAAGGCAAAAAAGTTCAATCATGACTTCATTGGCTTCTCAGCTGAAGAAACTTGCCTTACCCCAGACGCAGCAGAGTCAGTTGTCTAGAGACAGAGAAAAGGCATCTTTGTTGTTTGATCCTAAAGAAGCATCAAGTTTAGACAGAGAAACTTTTTATGCATTAGGTATGTACACTTCATTGTAAAACTGTTGAATTTTGGCTGATAGAAGTATTAGACAAAAACTTTTCATTCCAGGGAAAGTTTGAAAATATGGTGTTACTCAAAAATTCAATACCACCGCAACAACAAGATATATGTTCGAAATTTAATATTTTTTAAATAAATGAAATACAAGTATTAAAAGTTGATTTGGTTTGACAAAACAGCCTGTGAAAAGGGCTGTATTCGTTGCACCAGATATTTTTTGACATTTATCGACATATACATCTCATGTAAAATATATTGTTTGTTTACATGTGCTGTGTGACGACAACTGCCCTGTACCAAACATTTTTTACGCATATATGTATTTCTTGGGTCCATATTGAGCATGTGTGATGTTGTTTCGTGGTGCTTTCAATTATTCAACAAGCAGAATTACCGGTAACTAAGATTTGTTTAATTTTCTCATCAGGGGTAAATGGTCTAGAAGAATTGATAGGAATTGATCCTTCATTCCAAGATTACGAAGTCACGTTATTCGACGAAGCATCAAAATCTCTGGAGAGATCCATCCAATCGGTTGAAATAAACCAAAAACTGAACAAAAAGATATCTGAATTCTTGTTGAGATTGTCACCGTATTTTCTGTTGAAGCCAGCACAGAAGACATTGGAGTGGTTGATACATAGATTTTATATACACCAGTATAATGTCGATGATTTGTTAATGTGCGTCCTGCCGTATCATGAGACTATGATATTTGTACGAGTTATACAGCTATTAAAAGTAGCGGATCCCACACATAAATGGCATTGGCTTCATCCAATACAGGTAACTGTTCAGATCCAATCAATTTTGATTAATGATGGATGCGCAAGTATGTGAAAAATTAAGTTGGTAGGGTGGGGTAGCGGGGTGTACTACTAAAAATATCTTGTACATGCTGTGTAAAAGGATCCATCCAAAAAATTAAGAAGAGTGAATGAAAAAAAAATGGGGTGCAAACATGTGTTAGTGACCTCCCCCATAGTGTTGTTACATACTAATACTACCGATAGTACTTGATGGCCACTTTGAATTGAGAATAGCTAGAAAAGCACACAAAACGTTTGTTTTTTGTTTTTTTTCTTTTTTCTTTTGTTTTTTTTCAAAAAAATCCTCTATCTAGAAATGTGTTTGATATGGCAATATTGAAGAGCTTTTTTTGTGGATGATAGTTTTTAATCAGCATAACCATTTTATAATGTAGTTGTGTTGTATAGTACTGTAGAATACTTCATTTTAGCTGGAGTTTATTTTCACTGAATAGACTTTTTAGGTGTTTTGTATGGAATTTATTTTCACTGATTTTTGACTAGTTGAATGTAAATTGTAAGAAAAAAAGGTGTATTCGCTTGATTTTATTTTGACTGTATTATTCCTTCAGTGAAAAAGTACTGTAAAAGGGGTAATTATTCACTGTGTTTTAATTTGGCTTATTTCTCTGACTGGAAAAATGCGCTAAATTAAAACACAGTGCATATGTAAAATTTAGCATAGAACACATCTAAATGACGAAACCGTGAATTTAAAACCCACTGAATATGCCTGAAATATTAAATCAGTGAAAATTGGTCATTTTACAGTATTCTACAGTAGTTTATAACAATGCTCTTAATTGTGTGATCATGGCCTGCAAGAGATGGAAATATTTACTCAATGATGAAAGATATTTACACCTTTGGTATTTGTAAATATGGTATTAATTTACATTGCCACTGAAGTAGTCAAATTGAAGATTACGAAGTCTATTCTCTTGACCAGGGGTAAAAAATAATGGGAAGCCAGTGTCCTTAAAAATGAAATCAGTCTCATTTCAACAAGAGGCATATTTATCATGTAGTAAATGTATCTACTGTTGTTTTGTAGAAACCCGGGGTAGCCCTTGCAAGATCAACTTTACTAAATCACTGCTACAAAGATGCTGGATTTCTACATTTTATTTGTGAAATGGTTCCCAAGTCTATCAAGGTAAGATTTTAACATCCAACCAAAGATTGTCTGTTTGTTAAGCAGTGATAAAATGAGATAACAACCGACCAAAATGCATTTTGTCTGACGTTTATCACCAATAGATTTGATGTTTTTTTTGTCACAATGTGTTGGGGTATCAGTTTATACTTGGCTGGTACTGTCTTTATAGCGTATCATCCAAAAAGCCCAAACACACATTAACAACATGAATACTAAAAATGCGTAGTTGGAACAACAGCCTCAATTTGTTTAAAGCAAAGCGCGTATTCAAAACTTTGCGTAAACAATGTTCTTTTTACGTTGTATGTACGGCGCTATTTGAACCCTATCAAACACGATGCGGTGTGACGACTATAACGCTTAAAAACAATCTGAGAAGGGGAGGAGGAGGGTGGTAACGCACAAGTTGTTCTCTAAATAATATTCATTTATCCTTGATGAAGGCACATGGTGTAACGTCGTCAAGTACAGCATCTCTACGAGTTCTATTTTCATTTTACACCTCCACCGTAATTGGTATGATAGAATACTGCAATACAGTTACCGAGATATTGCTGTCGAACCTGATACCGTACATCCTAAAAGGATTGAAATCGACGTACTCTGACTACAAAGCGGCATCGTACATGATAATTTGTCAATTGGTGACAAAAACTACACTGAAAATGAACTTTCTTGATCCATTTATCAAGTCTGTATGCAAGGTGCGTTCTATTTCTCTCCCTATACTATGAAAACTCAATTCAGAAAAGTTTTTGTGAAAAAAAAAATTCCCGTGGTGAAAGTTTTCTTAATTTTTTCTCTATGAAATTGTAAAAAATGGTTATGTCATGTTGTGACCGTTTAGCAAAAAAAACACTAATTGGCACAAGATGACAAAACCGGAACGTTCATTGAGCTAAAACAATTTTATTATTTTGATATTTAATTAAATGCACTGGGTTTTAAACTTGCAGATTTTCCAGTGAAGCACTTAACATGGATTTAATTTTTATGAATTTTATTCAACAAAAAAATTAAAAACCAGTGAATAATTTGTGTTTACAACAGCAATGAATTGTCATGCCAGATTTAAGAGCACCAACATTTTTTTTTTTTCAACTTTCACAAAATCATTATTTATTTCATATTTTTTCTAAAGTTTTGAGCAAGATCTGTAATTCTGTTCATCTAAACTAAAATTATCAAAGAAATTATCAAAAAATACCTAAATTTCAAAAAAGTTTGCACAAAATTATTAGTGTAGACCAATTACTATTTGCTTTTTAAATATTACTTAAAGTTGTAATGAAAATAGCTGTATCGAGCCAGACCAGATTCATTCATCCTTACATGTATATTTACTTGAATGTTGTTTTTAGCATACGAGTGGTGATCTAGCTGCCGAGGCTGTCATGTGTATTGTCGTAATCTGCCAAACACAGAAGATTGAAAAACTGCCAAAAAAGTAAGTTTTGTTGAATTCCATTGATTTGATTCATGGGCTGAAATTTTAAAAACGATCCTGTTTACCCACTATGAGAAACTGGTTGTGTACACAAAAGTATATTTGTTAAATTTAGCTTCTGTGTTCAACACCTTTGATTGCTGAAGCAAACTTCATAAAACAAAATCTGAATGATTTTTTGTGTCCAATATAACATCAAAGTAATTTTGGGATCTGACTTTTTAAATAACTGCCCAAAAACCTTCCTGGAAAATGTATGTATCATGATAACACAGCACTCTACTATGTAATGTTACATTTACTGTATTTTCATCATTATTCTAATGGACAGCCAGTTTTCATATTCGGTTGCCGCATGACAAAAGTGGTTGTCCATGGCAACAAGATAACTGCTAATTTTGATCCCTGGAATGACATTTTGACCTCAACCATATATACAAGAATTTGATATGTTGAAAAAAGCTGTTAACGATTAAGCTGCTCTCAATCTTGTAAGTTGCTTTGTATTCGCTTTGCGATATTGATGTATATAAATTACATCTCAGTACTATGACAAATGTATAGTTTTTATTGTCATGGTAATTATACCTCATCATGACAATGGTGCAGTTTTAATTATCATGACAATTGTGTAGTTTTTATTGTCATGGTAATTATGCATTGCCATGACAATGGTGCTGTTTCTTCATCATGATTGTGCATTACCCGTATTTTGAAAGAACGCATGTGAAGGGTGTGGGAGTGGCATATAGGCATTATTAAAATATTATCCTACTGTAAAACATGTTGGAATAGCTATATGCTGTTGTCTCACCACTTGAATAAACACAGCCTTTATTTTCGTATGAATATTTTTGTTTAATTTATTTTAGGTAATTATTGTATATATTACATTTTATTGCTTTCAATTAATATTGCATTTATGTTTTTACACAGGGCTGTTAAAAGTTTATCAAAATTGGATGGCATAATACAGATATTAGAGCAGTTGTCGTTATCAACAAATATAAGACCATTCATGGAAGTATTTCTACAAAGAATTGTAACAAATACTTTTGCTGAAGGCGTTGCTATGGCAACAAGTAGTGAGGGTGAAAATGATTTTTCAGCTGGTCCTGTTTATAGTACTTTACTTGAGAATGTCATCCATGATGTTGCCATGACAACAGAGACCGTTGATATATTAGCAAGGTGAGTTTAATATGTTGGTGAATCGTCAAACAAGATGCATTTCTATCCACCATTTTTTATGATGAATGCATGTTATGGATTTGTAGGGTGTGGTAAATCAGAAAAACGTTCCGTTAATTTGAGTTATGCTTGTATCACCTCATGAATATTCATGTATTTTTTAAACGCTCGCACTCGTGAGATTGTTTGGTCACTCATGAATATTCATATTATTTGACCACTCATGAAATTCATGATACAAACAAACATTTGTAAACAAAAGCGACATTTATACAACTGTTAGCAATTTTTTTAGCATTAACAAACATTGTCTGCAAATGTGACATGCCTGCACCTATCAAGTTGAAACTTCTCTCATACATGTATATCAGAGATTATATCAGACATGTGCATTTGTTTTATGATCCAATTGAAGGTGCCAAAAATGCATTTATTAAATACAATTTCGGAACCCAATCGCAGACGTGTGTGGACAGATTCTGTTCAAACTTGGTACATACTTTCAACATAATCGGACCTTGATGGTCTTCATTATATTTTTTGGATTGGGGTCAGAATGGCCAACAAGTGGCCATTTTGTTTTGATCCATATATTCAACATGCCTGGACCAATCAAGTACAAACTTACAAGTACATCAGATATCAGATTTGACAAATGCAAAATGGCTGACTGGCAGTTATTGTTTAAACGAATGCAGTTTCACACAGCCATATCCTTATCATACAAGTCTGCTCCAAGCATGTTTAATCTTCATACATTAGGTCATATATATATTTTGAATTGATAATACAATTACTTTTCTATCTTTGCTAGAGCTAGAATTTTCTCCTGAACTTTTGTTCAGTTTTTACTATAAATACCACATAAGATGTACATGAATTATCATTATAATTGTGCAGGTTATTGATTCAGGAGTTCTTGGAGTTCTCACTTGATGAAGACAAACGATATTCAACAGAAAATGTACAGGTTATAAAGGAAAAAATCCATCCGATTATACAAGCATTGGAACAAAAGTATGTGTGTTTAGCTAATGTTACCACGGTATTCACGTGGTGAATGTTTGACTTTCATGTATATGTACCTGTATACGTTTCCTGGAACTCTTTTCAAATACAACATAGTGTGACGCAACTTTCATACTTTATTGAATTAAAATATTCTGTGAAAATAGTTAGCACTGGTATATGCTAAAAATTTATTTTTGACTCTCGTGTGCGAAGCACAAAAAGGAAGTCTTTGCAGTTAGTGTGTCTGTTCCACTGATATCTCAAAAACCATACATTGATTTTTAATTTTTAATGTGTCTTCAATACTCTCAGCACACGGGAGTTCTTTCTAAGCTTTCTTTGATATTGTATTGTATACAGGATCTTAAAATACTGTAAAGCGCTTAATTTTCACTAATATTTTTAGATTTCATGATTTTATTGTATTTGCAAAGACAAAATGTCTGACACTTGATGTAGTCGAGCCGAGAGAAATTTTGCTGCAGCAAAATTGTCACCGACTCGCAAAATTCATGAAAATTTAACTCATGAAATTAAATCAGTTTACAGTACGACTTGTTGCCATGGTTACACATTTTGCAAATTTCATCAATCCATCAACAGTTCTGTGCAGTGGTGAAATATGTGGACGGGGGGGCACTGACCCATACTTTTTAATGGTCATACGGTAACCAGAAATATAACTTTTTGTAGGCCTTGTGTATAATGCTTTGTAGAATTCATATCAATGTCTTCTTGCATCTCTATAATAGGTACCCAGTTTCAGTTGATAAAGCTTTGGAAAATATGTTAAAAGAAATTGAGAGCCAAAAAGAAAAAGACATACTGCAGGAGTTCATATCCATGACAGTTTCAAGATCCAAATATCAGGTATTCTGTGAACAGATTTCTTCTTATTTTTGTCAATTTTGGTTAATTATTGATTGTAAGTCATCAGTCAGAAAGGATTTTGTAGTATAACCCTTCACTTTTAGATTCTGTCTGATTGGTTATTGGGATTATGTATTTTTACCTCACTCATAATGATATTAAAGTGAATATGACCTCTGTGGCAAAAATGTACTATGTGTCAGTACTAGCACTTGCAATTTGCACATACAAAAAAAAGTCAGAAGAGACAACAGTGACATTCAATGTCAGGAACTGTCGCCTGGCAAAAAAAAAAACATTTTAGAAAATAAAAAAATGATAATAAAGTGGAGAGGTGTCGGGTGTTACAATATCTGCAGTTTTCAAACTATCACTGGCCTCATTCGGCAAAATTACTCTTAAAAATGTCTCGCATACCAGACTTTCCCTTGCCGAGTTTCTTTGATAAAATGGTTTTGTTTTTTGGCTAACCCACCTCTTCTTGGAGGGAAACAGACTTCAATGTCCAATTCAATTATATTGTATATGGACCTGGAAATGTTTGGTAGGCATTGAAACATAGCATGAACAAAATGTATTTTTTCTAATTCAGGTTGTTGATGAATCACAGACTTCACTCTTATTGAGTTTAAATCATCCTAGTGGCAGGATTAGACACTCTGCTGTCAAGTATCTGCTGACTAAGATACAGGTATGTCATTTTAACCTATTAGTGTGAGCTGTTGTGATCTGAGCTTATGTACGTTGACTGTTTAGCCTAAAGTGTGCTGCCACATCTGTGAAAAAAACTAGAACTGATTAAAATTAATGAAAAATATATATTTTGAAAAATATATAATATTGTAATTTTTTGTAACAAAAAATTAAAAAAGAATTTTTTATACAATACAAGGGTGATATATACGGTGGCAATTGGTTCAGTATTTAATAATGAAACTAAATTTTGTGAAGTTAAAGACAAAAAAATAAAAATTTTCAGTATGGTAATATTAAGCTTATGTACACAGCGGCAATTGATATACTCAACAGTGAAAATTAATTGTCAGGTTAAGGTAGAGATGCAGTTTACCTGACAGGTATTTTAATTAGTTAATTAGGAAACCAAGATGACCTCCCTTGTCCACAAAACTATATATTTTTGTAAAGCTTATTGTATGAATTTTAAAGTTTTGTTAAGGTTTTATTTTTATGGACACTGTAGTTTGAAATATGCACAAAAATGTGCTTTTTTGGTCAAAAGTGATTATAAAAAAATTAGCTTCTAAACCATTCTTCTGTTTCCTGTCAAAATTGGTTTATGGGTACATCTGTTTACTATGAAGAAAGTGCCGTCTTGAAAACTGTCTACCAGTTGTCAATTTTGTAGGGCAGCAGATCAGATTTCACTACTTCAAGTTTATACATAAATTAACACCCAGGCTAGTTGTCTGTACGATTGCTGTAACACTATTCAACTAAAAACAATGCCCCGACGGCGTTTTGAAGATAAACACTTTGTCAATCATTTGTGAAAATTTCAAAACAAAAGGTCAAAGCGTCAAGGAGCTATTTTTTTTTTAAAGTTCTGGAATGTGCACTAAAAAACTGAGATAATTGCTAATTTGCATAACAATTCACTCAGTAAGAAGTTTGCTAATGCTCATAATTAAAATGGCTGTTACAGTTTCAAATTTAAATGTATTATCGTTTTGTAAAAAGTTAAATACAGTGCATAATATGGAGATCCCGTCATTTCTTTTTTTTACCATGTTTTTTTTTTATTATTTATGTACAGCCTTGCTAAATCTTGCTAAGCATTCAAAAGAGATAATTTTGCACCTGTTATCTATATTTTGAAATCGTTTTTTGAGTATGTTCCACTATTCACAATTCTACAAAATTTCAACAGTAAATATAGCCAAGACTTTTTGGATAATAAAAAGCAAAAACAAAAAAAATTCACTCCCAAGTGCCCACGAACCTGCATTCTACCTTTAATAACCAGAAAAAACAAAAACAAAAGGTTTTTAGTATGACACTGTGAGGGCGCTATTGCATCACATAGAGGCAACCAGTTTCTCATCAAGAATAATGTATGTCGACTTTGTATGATATCCAACGATAAAAAATAAATGTGTAAGGTTAACCATAAAATGTGTTTCAATATGAAAGCACCACATCAGTGTATCTGTACAGGGGGAGGGGGAATTGATCATATTCCTGTGTTTAAAAAATGTAATGTGCAATTTTATATTGCTATTGAGGTACGAGTTTCAGAATAAAATAAGTTTTTTGAAAATGATGTTTTTTAATTATAATCAAACATTGTTTTTTTTACAGACTGGTGAATTGGATGAATTCTATCAAGAGTCTTTGCTTCAGAGGCTTTCCGATGATGACCCCACTGTAGTGAAAGCAGTATTAGATTTAGATGAGGTACGACGATTAAATTACTTTTCAAAACAACTTGCATGCATTTTTATATGAAATGTCAAAAAAAAAAAAAAAAAAATTTGCGTTTGAATATTTCATTATCTTTTGATTAAATGCAACAGCCGTCCTGCATGGATGGTGTGTTATTTGTTGTCTAGGAATTTTAAAGAGCTAGGCGCAATATATCAGGCTTAAAAATACTGTACCTCAGCCATGCACATCAATAAATATTAGTATTTCTAAATAATGTCATTCCAGATTAAGTATCTATCATCTAAAATTTGATTCCCAGGCACTTAGTGCTAGTTGCGATGTCATGGTTACAACCTTACATACTTTTGTACAGAATTATAACCAAAAACATTTGTGTGCGTGTGATAGCCATACAGTTTTGGTGGAAATTTACATGCTAATTTGCATATTTGCACATATTACTGAGTGGTGAAAACTTGATTTCTTATATTCCAAATATAAATTCAACATTTCTTGCATTATAAATTTATATGTGTATACTTTCAACGATTTATAAAAGCAGAGCTTGAACTTACCTAACCTTGTACTATGATATGTGATGCACATCTCGCTGGAAGCAAACTCGTGATTCCCATTCAGTATGCATAAGTCATAGTTTTAACCAAAAGCATCAGAAAACACAGTGAGTACATGCTCAGAAATGTTTGATTGCATAAACTGAAATGAGCGAACTGATCACCAATTCAAAAACGCAAAATGAACAAATATAACACACTAGTAAACACAGGTACAGGAACTACAAAAAATGAAATGAACATGAATTGTTTCTTTCACATATTCAATAATTTCCATAAGGATTGGTTTTGTAATTGGCATGTGATCTTCATCAGATATCACACATTTACGAGTCATACTGTTCTGATTATAGCTAGATGTGTAATTTGCATGCTACTTTTGCTAAGCCTATCCCTACCTACATGAACTTGTGTGTACTAGTGCTAACTATGTGTATGTATCCAGTTATTGTACCTGGTATACCACAATCCTCCAATCAAAACAGTTAATCAGTATTCATGAAACAATGCCATTTGATTGGTTTCTTGCTCCTGTGAAATAAATGATCATGTGACTTGATAAATTTTATTTGTTTATTAGAAATTGGTTGATGTGTTGCCAGGCGACAAGCTATATGTGGCTCTATGTGGATTATTGAGTGTTTGGAGTACTCATTCAAATGAATCTTGGTAAGAAACAACCTGCATTACCAGGGATTGAAATAATGGTATTTCTATGCAGTGTGGTGCCCTCTTAGCCCTCATGTCACTGACACAAAACATTTTTCTGTGATGCAACTATTTATGCTAATTTACTGGCGTGTCATTGACACAACAGAAAAATCATACGTTGAGAAATGTCTTGTTTTAGATATTATAATAATTTGGAAAAATAAAATTCACTTTTTATATAGTAACAATAAGTGAAAACTAATCAGAGACTGATACTCTGCATGACAAGCTTGTTCTAATTTTATTTAAGCAATGTTTGTAAAATATTTTATTTTAGCTGGAATTAATTTTCGCTGAAAAGATATTTTGGGCGTTTTGTATGAAATTTATTTTCACTGATTTTTGACAAGTGGAATGTAAAATATAGGAAAAAAGGTATATATGCTGAATCATTCCTATAGCGAAAATTAATTCCGAGCAAAAATAAAGCGTTTCACAGTATTTTCACTTTGTAAGGGACCCATATAAAACAAGTCTTGGCATAATGGTCGCTGTCTTTGAAATTTAGCATATCATCTGCAGAGACTGCTGTATACAATATACATCTTAGTACTATTCATATGTGGTGGTTTTACAAAGGCAACATGTTCATATATAATTAACAATATGCTACTTTGAGTTGTACTTGTACTACATCATTGCTTGATAAACCTGCAGTTTTCTTATTTGTTAAAAAATATTTCTTGTTTTCTTTCACTAGACTCGGTAGTAAAGTACATTTACTATGTTGTCATATCAACATATTTCTAACTACAAAAAAAAGATTGATAACTAAATTTTAGCCATTACTGATTTGGTTCTTGACTTTGTCACGGAGTTGTAATTTATTTTGTAGGTGGAGTATTGAACATTGTGTCCTAAGTATTCTCTGTAGTCAGAATTTTTTTAACAAGATGGCCGCCAAGATAGATGACTGTGCATTGGCTGTACTGCCATATCTTTATCTAGTGAGAAGTAAAGAACCACTGAAAGAGAAACAAATAGCTCTAACTATAGCAACATCTGCATTGTCTAAAAAACACAAAGTATTGGCTAACCTCAGTGAAAGTAAGTCTGAAATATAACATTTTTATGCCATACTTTTTCACACTAATATTGTTATATAATATTTTTCTGTATTTTTCTATAATTTTTTTTTTTAAATTTTGGACAATTTTCCATTAGCTACATGTCTTGCACAAAAAAATATAAAGAGAAGATTGTGTGGTGACAAAAGTTGAGATGATTTTTTGGCTCAAAGGGTTGTATATGTAATGTAATTCTAAGGTAGATAATGGATGAGAGTTGTAACTATGGTAACATGATCATCCTTCATCATGAAATAAACATATTTCTTGAAATTTTCCAGTCATTCTGATTGAAATGCATTTGTGGTTTTAGTGGCTTTCTGGTGACCTTCAGTAATGGTAAATATTGTGAGGGCCATAGTTTGAGATTTTCTAATTTTATAGCTATGAAAACTGAGGATCCTTCAAGTCGCATTGACTATCACACAAAATTTCACAAACTTCCTTGAATCATCAATCCTGAAAATGGAATCATTAGCAGTGATTACTTATTGTACAGTGCTTTGATCAGATGGGTTGTATATGTTCACATTGTTTGATTTTTTTTTAGACAAAGTCTACACAGCGGAGCTGTTCATATTACTGATTGTCATCCGCCGTCGTCAATTTTACAATTTTAACTTCTTCTTCAAAACCTCAAGTCAGAATGTTCTCAAATTTGATATGCAAGTACCTTGGATGGTTCTTTCTCAGATTTGTTCATTTCATGTCAAAATCTCAAATTCTTTATTTTTGGTGAATATTTTTGCAATTTTTGGTAAAAAGTGATAATTTTGTCTTCTTGTTAGAAACCACAAGTCCGATTGCTTTGATATTACATATATAGGTACTACATGTGGGCCTCTCTCAGATTTGTTCATTTCGTGATGATATCTTTAATTCTCTAATTTTGATGAATGTTTTTGTCATTTTTGGTAAAAAGTTATATTTCGACTTCTTGTTTAAAACCACAAGTTTCTTTAATACTATACATACTGTTCATTTTCTAATGTGCATTGCTAACAGCGGAGCGATATCAGCCGACAGGTTGCTTGTTTTGTTTCTCAGTGATTATGCCGACAAGTGTTTGCAGGGTTATAACTTCGTTTGAACTTTGCAGGTTACGTTGCACTCACTGCCAAATCCAACAAGGATACAGTAGCTGAAGTGAATGAACGCACGGTTACAAAGATTACTGAAAATATGTTGAAAATGAAAGAAAGTGATGTCCTGAAAATGGTATGTTTTGAATTTATTGATTCAGAGTCTAATAATGTGTTGTGATCTCAGAGAATGATTACATTTGTATAGAAGGTAATAGTTTCCAATCATATAGAATGAGATGTTTTCAGGGAATGTGCAGAGAATTCAGTCTGAACTGCCATAAGTGAAAGAATTTATAAGCTTGGAAGTGATAAGTTCTGTTTGATAATTTATGATATATTTGGCATAAAAACAATTTTTTTTCAAGGAATATTTGTTACAAAATATATTAATCATATTAATAACTAATATCTGGTATTCATATAGATACACTTGCTGTCAGATCAAGTGACAGACCACAGTACAAATCTAAGAGTTAAAATGGTGGCTAAATTCATTCTGGCAAGTTTAGTTGCCATGTCAACAAACATTCGATTGCAGCTTTCTATTGCTACCACCCTGTTGTCAGCTTTAGGAGATGATGTCAATAGAATAATCGATGTTGTGCCAAAGAATATGGTAAGAACAACAATGACTTCTTTTGTAATTTTAAAGTAAAATCTAGTAAAATTATCCTTTTTCCTTTTTACATGTACTTGTATATACTAAATGCAATTCTATGTCCTTGTATGACTTTCCTGTAACAAATGTATCTTGATTTAAATACTGTAGAATACTTTATTTTCGCTTGGAATTTATTTTTGCTACTTTCGCTGAAAGGATGATTTCGTGAAAATAAAACCCAGCGAATATACTTTTTTTTCTATATTTCACATTAAACTCATCAAAAATCAGTGAAAATAAATTCCATACCAAAAAGCCTTTTCAGCGAAAATTAATTCCAGCGAAAATAAAATATTCCACAGTACTTCACGAATGACTTTACTATCAAAGAAAATTTCTGTCAGTACCTTCATTAGGATTCACAACTGATTCCTTGCTTTTCCTTTTTTTGCAATAATCTTCTTGCATTCACATCAAATCACTCTTAAAAGCAGCAACAAAGTAGATGGAGTTGGAGTTGAACGAATCTGGGTCTTCAGTTGATGTCTGCATTTTATCTGTTTCACACACTGAACTATCTAGGATTTATATCTCTTCTGTTTTTAGTAAATTAATCCAATCTGTGGTCAAGCTTAAGAAAATCACCACCACATCCTTATTGTGGCTTTTAGTGGCTTTCAAAGTGTACTGATTTAATAATTGCATATAATTACTACTTTTCTTCGAAGGATGAAGATGATCTGGATACCATGGAAACTGAAATGCTGACTGCTGATACATCACACATCCACTGTAAAGCCTTAAAAGTCTTGTCTAAAAAGAAAAACCGAATGGTTAAGTGTCCCGAGTTTGCGGATACTGTGTTTTGGTTGTTGGATAGCATAGTGATGAATATTCCCTTGCAGACATTGTTGAAAGGTACAGTTCTGAAAAAAAGGTAGTACTGTGATCTTGCATATCAGTGTGGTTTGATCCAGTACTGCCTTTTGGCATACCTTATGATTATACATCTTTTCTTTTGGGTAATAATTTAGTGATGCATAAAACTCTCGAAAATGCAGAGAAAAGCGTCTTATGATATATACTGATATGTTTACTTCATGTGCTACAATGTTGGTCTATGTTTGCTGCTAGATCTTAAATCATTTTACCTGTACCAACATATAAAATATATGTTTGACTTTAAACACAGTCCACATATTTCTGTAATCACTAAAAATAAAAAAAAATAGCAAGAAATCTCTTTATTCATCATTCTAATTAGACAAATAATTCACATTCTAATAACACATTCAGGCCATTTTAAACAAGATGGTTGCATAGCTACCCCCGTTGTGCTCACTATGGACACCTGGAGCAAACGATTATATGTACAAAGTTATACTATCACTAAAATGTACTGTGGCTGAACCTTTTTCAACCTGAACTAATATTTGCTTCAATTGAAAGTATACTGCAGGGCTCTTGCTGTGTTTCCATGGTAACACAATAAACCTATCTATTTTTCAGGATCACATTGGTTGAATTGTGATAAAAAACCAGACAGCCAGGATACAGAATATATCAAATTGTTGTTAAAACTTTTTGAATATTTTACTGCTGGGTCAGCTGACAGCAAATCAGCCAATCACGTTGCTGCATTTAGGAATCTATTGAAGAAACTGATTGAGGTGAACTAACAAGTTTAAAAGTTTAAAAAAAATGAGGGTTTTGTTTAAATTAATTTTTTAAATTAAGTTAATTTTTTTACTTTTAGTTCTTATGTATTTTAAAATGTTCTACTTTTTTTCCCAGCATCATTTAAAGGAAAGATCTAAACTTTGGATGTTTTTGTCCGTTATGTGGACCAGCCATTTTGAAGAGTTCCCTCTAGTGCCAGCAGTTGTTCAAATGCGTGCACTTCATATTGCCAATACCAGTTTCTCTCATCTAGCTGATGAGGACATGCAGGATCTGTTTAGAAAAGACTCCTTAGGTATGTGTAATATTGAAAAGACTCCCCAGGCATGTGTAATATTGAAAAGACTCCCCAGGCATGTGTAATATTGAAAAGACTACCCAGGCATGTGTAATATTGAAAAGACTTCCCTAGGCATGTGTAATACTAAAGTCTCCCCAGACATATGTAATATTGAAAAGATCCTCAGGCAAGTGTAATATTGAAAAGATCCTCAGGCATGTGTAATATTGAAAAGACTACCCAGGCATGTGTAATATTGAAAAGACTTCCCTAGGCATGTGTAATACTAAAGTCTCCCCAGACATATGTGATATTGAAAAGATCCTCAGGCATGTGTAATATTGAAAAGACTACCCAGGCATGTGTAATATTGAAAAGACTTCCCTAGGCATGTGTAATACTAAAGTCTCCCCAGACATATGTAATATTGAAAAGATCCTCAGGCAAGTGTAATATTGAAAAGACTACCC